TTTTTTTTTCTTCGTTTTATTATAACATAAATATCGTTGGTAATTGGCATAGCATAGGTCAACAATATATGTATGTGTGTCAGAAAGGACTATGGGAGGTTGCAATTGAGTTGTCCTTTCTACGTGAGCTTTGAAAAAGAAAAGGAAAAGTTCACATGCATCTAGGCCCAGGAATCTCACTGTACCTCACTTCCAAAATGCCTTTTTTGTTTCTCTCCTTTCTACAATATATATATATATATATATATATATATATTTTTCTAATTTTTCTCTAGAAAAGTCATACTTTCACATTACAAAATAAAATTAAATAATTATTTTTGTATACCAAGTTCAAATCATAGGAAAGGGAAAAAGGTTATATCAAATTATACCAATGAAATTGATGTTTTTTTTTTTTTTCAAAACTCTATTTCCTACACATATAAATAAATAGGGGCTCTCAAATAAAAAAAATCACGTATCGTAGTTTTAGTCTCAAATTCAAGAACTCTCAACAGCTTTCTCGAAGACTCGAGCGCTTTCAAATTGAAGATTGGCATTCATTCTGTAACCATAACATCGGAACCTCTAAAGTACGTTCAATGAAGAAAAAGATCAAGACGAAGAAAAATGCGGCAACTCTTCTCCCATAAATAAAACAACAACACTGATCAATTCCTCCCAAATCAATCTAAGAACATCAACGACGTTCAATCGACATTCAAACCACATTCGTCGTGGAGCTCAAGCAACATAACATTAAGTTCGAGAAAAAATCTTTAAAGCACTCGAATCAACGTTATTAAATATAATATCATGTTCGAAAAAAACTTTTCAAGCCCTCAAATCAATGTTAGCTCGACTGGTTGAAGCACAAGATCCTCCATGTGATGTTTAAGCCGGGCCAAGTTCGAATGATTTGCTATCAAGTAGTTATTAAGATTTATTTAGTTACAATCAAGATCAAGTGCCTTTGATAAAATATTCACATGTTAGTAAAAAAACAAGGTATTATAATTTTTTTTTTTTTTGGTACAAGGACCTTCCGGTTTCCGAATCCACATGGGAACCGACTAATCCAGAATCGAGCCGGGTAGGACCACAAGGGCGGCAAAGCTCTCCCTCAAGAGTTTTAACACTGCTGCATTCCCAGGGCTCGAACACGAGACCACTGGTTAAGCTGGAAGAGACCCAAACCATCTTATCCAAGCGTTCTTGGATAGGTATTATAATTTTCAACATGCCATGTTCATTTTCTGGATGACCAAGTTAATTTCTGTGCACAGCACAAATAAACAACCAATTTAGGCATGCAAATCTGAAGCTGGATTTATGGTACCTATGGAATAATTGTATTAAGATAGTGAAGTGCACTGTGTATATGTCATTAAACTACTCGTTTGTAACATGTAATCATATTTCATTGATACTCGTTATAACATTTAAAATCGGATCTCGATCTCTGAGTGAAATTTCTATATTCATCACTGTGTAAGATCGAAAAGGTTGTGAAGTAGTAATCTATGTTCAACTAGAAGTTTTTTTTTTTTTTTCAAACAGCAAACTTTCATAAGTAGAACACATAATTACAAGCAGATAACAACCGGTAACAACTGGAAAGAGTAACTTGGGAGGACAACCAACTGACAACCTAATCGAACACGCACATCACACCCACAAACTACAACGCTACAATGCACCCACAAGCTCCAACAAGAGAATTTAACCAAAAGGAGAATAAACACCACATACAATAAACAAAAAGAACATACACAAACAAAAATACTAGAATAATTCCCCCACCAGCTGATCAGCAACACCAGACTCTAAAAACAGTGACACCAGGGGCGAAACCAGAAAATTAGTTAAGAGGGGGCAAAAGACACGACATAATGTGTTCAGAACCGATACAGAATTGATAACATTTTGGTAACTGAGTTTTGGTTACCCTTACACATAAGTCGGTTCGATTTGGTTTATTTCTTATCAGTTCGGTCGTTCGATTTTCGGTTTTCGGACAAAAAATACCAGCCTTAGCCAGAGCAAAGAGAGTTGTGGTCTTTTATACGGGTCAATTAAAATTGTAGAAGGATTAATTAATATACAAAATATAGTAAAATAAAAGAATTGTTGAATAGTTAATTGACAATTGTGGACAAGTTTGTCTGGTGAGTGACGTTTAAAAACAAAAATCAAGTGATGCAAAAATAAATTCTAGGGGGGGCAATTAAAATTTGTAATACTAATAGTAAAAAGAATTAAATTTGAGGGGGGGGGGGCAATTGCCCCCTATAACAACAAGTAAATTCGCCCCTGAGTGACACTGAGCACGGAACAAGAAACTCCTGACCAAAGCCGACTAACCAGAACCCACCTGAACACCAACATACCCTTCCACAGACAAAAACCTCTAGAAAACTCGGATTGCTCACAACAAACCCACCCACCCACACATCAGAGGCCACAATCCCTCCCAACCAAAGCCAGAGGCTGTCGCTTCCGATGTAGCCCACCAACCCCAACACCAATCTGTTTTTATTTTAAAAAGAAAATCGGAATCGAGAACTTCTCAATATATTGTATGGTGATGATAAATGAAGTAATTAATCCCAGAAACTTTATTATCATGGGATGATTTATGACAAACACTAATTAAATTGTTTTGTGTGTATATCCAATCCCTTCATTTATGAGAGTGATGTTTAATGAATTTATGGTGCAGTAAGTAACATAGTTGTTATAAAAGAGGTGGAAGCTATTACCGATCCAGCATACTTCTCGGCCATCCGATTTTTGGTGTCGACCATTCCGTTTTTACCTTTCATTTTCCGAGCAAGGAAAGATGCTCAGAGACCTAATTTGGGTTTGGAGTTAGGATTATGGGTTAGTTTGGGTTATCTGACTGAGGCACTCGGGCTTTTAACATCTGATGCGGGTCGTGCACTCAGGCCTAAAACTAATAAGTTGCATATATCGGAGTACTTCTACAATCCCACAATTCACATGCTATTGGAGATGCTCTTATTCATTATCAAACGATACAAATGTTATGGCATCTGAACACAAACAAGTGTTGACATCAAACACACATTAAAAATAACAACACACTGCTCCAGGATAGATGGATTTGAACATAGAATGAGAGAAATGCCATGTCATTGGGCAACAAAGTTTTTATTAAAGCTCAAACAACACATAACACACAGATCTCTTAATTTTTCTTGGCGATAAACAAACCCCATCGCTGCTCGCCAGATGAACTCCTTATGAGCTTAGCTTTCCAACCTCCGACTATTTCATTGTAGTCTTCCTGCAAGAACACAAGCGAAAGAGAGATTCAATCAAAAAGAGGAGATAAATGTTTGTGATAAAAAAAAAAAAAAAGGCAATCAATTGAGTAGGGCATGATGAATAAGCAAACGCCAAACCTCCGAGAAGTCCCTTATAAAGATTTCCTTATCCTTCTCCACTGCATCCAACTCTTTCTCAAGAACTTTTATGAACTGCAGAATGAACAGGTAAGGTTAATTAGCTATGTCCAATTTATAATTGCACACCATGTTTTACCCTCCGACTTGGGTTTATATTACATATAGTGTGCCATATTCAGGTGTTTGTAAAAGCAAAACTCAACTTCTAAATTGATACTAACTGCGTATTTTTTGTACTAACGGTTAATTTTCATGATTATCTCAGTTGTTAACTTGATAAAAGAAAGAACCCAGTAATCACATACTTGATCAGTTCGGTCCTCAGCGATGACCTCATCAAAGCCAGCATCACGAAGCATCTGCAAACACATATAGACATGAGAATGGCTAAGAACAGACAAGAACATGACTTATATTGAGGAATAATAATGAGCTTTTGCATGGAAAGTTTGAGCATCTATATGTTTAAGACATGCCTGGCCATAAGCCTGTACGTCGTGTAAATCATATCCCCTTTGCTTAATATATTCCGAAAATTCAGCAGATGGAGACCCAGCATTTCTGCAGTAATCACTAATGAGGACCTTGCCTCCAGGCTTCAGCCACTTGTAGAAAGATCTGAACAGTGCAGGTTTGTCCTGAAAAAATAACCAAAATTGTCCATATTAGACATGGTAAAAAAGACTCGAGTCAGACTGCTATAAGTTGGTGGTGTGACATATGTATCTAAGGTTGTACAATCATTTCTAATGAATATCTTCAATAACATTCATCTTGAGGCTCAAAATGTAATGGATAACAAAAGGAAATCGTAACAGGATATTTAGAAACATATCAGCTATCAAGAAAGATCAAAGGAAAAGACGAGACAGTTCAAAAGAATGATATCAACACCCCCATCATTTGGATTTGTACGATAATAATAATAGTTAAAAAGAACAAGAGTAGGAAAGAAGCTATAATAAAAGATACAAGTCAAACAAAAAGGATTTAGGTTTATTCTCAAAAAAGATATAGCTACAAGGATGCTGAAAATAAAAAAATTACTTGAATGTGAAGAATCGTGTCACGGCTATAGATCACGTCAAATGTGCCATCAGGGTATTCTTTCTTGGTACAATCGGCAACCTCGAACTCAACAGCACACTTGAGACCAATTGCACGCTCAAGGGCAAAAGATATCATGTTGATTGAGAGGTCAATGGCAACCACATGAACATCGTACTTGTCTGCCATGTAAAAGTCACCTCCTCCAATGCCACATCCCACATCCAGCACTTTCTGGCCAGGCTTCAGATCCAGTTTAGCTACAAATTCTCGGGTTGTATCTGATCATAAGACAATCAGAATATGCCCGAGAGTATCCGCAATCATAAAAGATACTGTAAATCAAATTCAGGACAATTTGGTCTATAAAATTCAAACTTAAAGAAAAAAAAAAAAATCATCATGACATAACCAAGATTCAAGCTTTGCTCTTGGACCATTTAAGCTCCTCCAATAATAATGGTAAAACAGCTACCTACTCAATTTCCACATTTCATAAATCCTAGCAGACAATAAGTCTGAAGTTCATCAACCACATTTCATCAAGATCACATTGCCCAACCACACTTCACGATACTTTTATGTTATAGTGTAGATATTCTTTGATTATACCATCATACTATTGGAATAACAACAGAGAAAGCTTTCCAAATTTTTCACAGTGAACATTCTTATGGAGAACATACCTATTCCACCCGTGCTCACAAATCCCTCTCCAAAAACACGCTCATATCTCAATATGCCACTACATTTATATTGGACAGTGTCCAAAAATCTCTGGAATCCCCTGTCATCATCTGAACTAACCTTTTGCCAAATCCAGCAGATCTGCACAACACAGAGGGTATATTATATTAATTATCCCTGATTTTTTTTTTTTTTCATATATCTGAGTATACGGTAACCTTGGTAATGCACTCCAAGAATAATCATATAACTGCTTTTAACAGTGGATCACTTCTTATATTTTCCGAGCCATTGGAAAAGTGACAAATTCCACTGAAAGTTACAGGAAAAAATATTGAATGAGATCACAATGTACAGCACCTGATTTTGATTTTTTTTGTTCTTCACATAAGCTCCAATACACTTGCAACCAATGAGATCAAGTTCAAATGAACTTCCAGACTTGTCAATCTGGTGACATTCTTTAAACACCTGCAAATTCAAAGGAGAAATATTATCAACATACTTCTAATACACGTTGGGACATTACGATTAAGCTATAAAGCTGATATAAATATTCCCTCCACTTGGGATTTATGTATGACCAAGTAGCTGCTATTTCTCATTTATCATATTTCAGTTCGGTAGAAAATTTCATTAATCTCGCTCAGCATTTTCTAAACAAAAACACGCACAACTCTATCATTTGAAGATCGAAGTTATTAAAGCATATCATAAGACCTTGGTATAAAATCTTGGTTCACGATAGTGAGTGGGATTATTCTTTCTCTTGTGATCACCCGACTGATGGAAACATGATTCTCTGAAATATATATAGCCACCAACTTTTAACCATTTGGCCATTCTCTCTGCAAGATTCTCAACCTGCCACAGAAATAGACCAATAAAATCTCATCAACAAACATTAACAACCAATTTAAGAAGAATAGGAGTAATCTCCACCTCTTTGTCAGAGAGATACATCAACAGCCAGTTCGAAAATATGACATCCAGAGATCCTTCTGAAAAGTTCAGGTCTGGAGATGTCACATCAGCACACATAAACTTGATATTTTTATGATGTGCGTTGAGGGCTTCGTTCTGAAGAGAAGAGAGAAAGGGCCAAAAACACAAGTTTCACATTCAGTAAAACTACATGAAAACTTGATTGAAACCCATAAGATGAAGAAATGCTAAAGAGTATAGACCTTCTTGATCACGCTTTCAATGAAGTCCAACGCTACAACTTCTTTAGCCTTTTTGGCTAGCTCACCGGTGAATCGGCCAATACCAGCTCCCAGTTCCAGAACCGACTTGCCTTCGTATGGTGGGAGTAGGGACAAAACCTGTGCAATTTATTTATAAAAAAATAAATCAATTTATCAGATTATAGCATAGGGTGTTCTCATCTTATTTACAAACATCACATGCCATAGCATTTCTATTTTTTTTTTCTTTTTAAACAAATATCTAATCAAAGAAAATAACATTTGAGAGATGATGATTTTGAAATGCAAGTCCACAGTGCCAATTTACACCTCGTTGATGCAACAAACTAGGCTCCAACTAGGCTGAGCATGGGACTCGGAGGACTCGGAGAGTTCCAAACCGTTCTAAAAACCGAACCGAAGTCACTTCAAATCGAAAAATATCCATTGTCCACAGTTTGACTTTCTCCGGACCGAACTGGCGAACCGAACCGAAGAAATAATTGGTCTGGTTCTGGAGATTTCACAAATATCCGTACTGAAAACCGAACCGAATCGTTACCGTACCGAACCGAAGAACCGAAATTAAGAATCAAATTATAACATTGGATGTGTGGTATTAATATATGTCATCCTATTTGATCTTATATAATTTAAGAATTTTTAAAATGCAAATAAAATATAGTAATAATAATTAACTTTTACTTAAATTTCACACTTAGTAATACTTAATCTAAAATTGAGTTTTCCATGTTACAAAAAAATATTTGAAATGGTATGAAAGGTTGAAGAGTATTTTTTAATAAAAAAAAAAACTATATTATATTTTGTTTGAATTTAAATTTTCAATATTAGTTGCACAAATTTAGTCTAGACTAAAATTTAGAGTTACTTCTAAAGTTGATTTCAAAATAAAATGTTTAATATGAGGAAGTATTGATGAATGTGGGTTTTTTTTAAGCATATAAAAAATAAATAACTAAAATTTAGAGTTATTTATAAAGTTGATTTCAAATAAAATCTTCAATATGATCAAGTATTGATAAATGTTTTTTTTTTTTTAATTATATAAAAATTAAAATATAACTAGGTAGTCTTTTAAAAAAATAAGAAATCTCAAAGATTCAAATCAAACCATACTGAACCGTTCTGATACCCCCAAAAAACGGAACCGAACCGTCCTAATTTTTTGGTACAATTCCGGAGATCAAATTTAGTGATCTCCAAATTTTGGTTCGCTTCCAAAGATTCCTCAATCTGCGAACCCTACCAACCCATTTTCACCCCTAACTCGAACAGTAGAAAACTTGATGCAAAAAAAAAATAAAAAAATACATAAATAAATAAATAAATACACTCAATTATTCACTTCGCATTTGCTACCAAACAATCAATCTATCTCTCTCTCACACACACACACAACCAAACACACACACCACACACATTGAGTTTGGAGAAATCATACCTCAGGCCTCTCTTCCTTGTCGAGATCAGATGCTTTGGAATCAAGCATCATAGACTCCAGAGTCAGTTCAACAGAGTGTTCGATCCAGTAACTCTTCTGCACCTCACGCTCTTGATCTACACATTAAAATCACAAACAAAAACGCCATTACATTTTCTTACCCACAACCGATCAAAATTTCATTCAGATTCGTCATACAATTACAAAAACCCCCAAAAGGCAATTCGTCAAAATTAAATTTAGCGAACCTGGGGCAATGGCGGCCATGGTGCGTGCGAGCACAAAGAACAAGCAAACAGAAGAATTTGTTTTTTTTCTGTATTTGGTTATGGGGGCTTTTAAGCGAGAGAGATTTGGGGTATGAGAGAAATTGGTGGGAGAAAGGGTAAAATGTTAAAGTTCTAACAACCTTCAACTGCAATGCGGGATCTTGAAAATGTCCTGGATCTGCGGTTGCAGGATTTCCCCTTTTGCTGCATCAAGTTGTGTTTGTGGTTTGTGCACAATGGGTAGAAGGAACAGAGCGGGGGCTATTTATAGGAAGAAAGAAAATGGGTTTTAAGTTTTTCCAAGAAAACGAAAATTAGAGCCTTTTTTTTTGGGATCTCTGCGGCTATGGTGGCCGGGGATGAGCTTTTTTTGGGAAACGAAGAGCCTTTATTTTTTTAGTTCGTTTTGCTATGAAGCAACAGTTGGCTCGTGAAAACCTCCTATAGGTTATATACAACAAGTAAACGTATCATATTCTTTGATTATTTAAATAACATTAATATAATTTTATTAATATGATATGTTTATTTGTTATATATATAAGGTTGACTCTACTATAAAGTCAAACTATTATGGAGTCAACGGTTGACTTTATAGCAAAATTGATTTTTTACTATATCATTTTTAGTTTTTATTTTAGGTGTTTTTATTTGAGGAAATTTTATTAAATACCCCAATTTTTTATAATTCTATCAATTTAAACCTGAATTTTATTGTTTTTCAATAGAAGTCTTATATTTTAAGATTATTCTCAATTTAAGACCTATTTTTTAGTTAACTTTTTATTATAAGGCTCAAATAACTTTACTTTTTTTGTCATAAATGTGTAAACTAACTATTACGTGACCAAGAATATTATTATTATTATTATTATTATTATTATTATTATTATTATTTTCTTGTAATTTATATTTTACATACTTATGATATAAAAATAATAAATATGTTTAGTAAAACTACATTAATAAGAAAATAAAACTATATAAATTACAATTATGCAAAAGTTTAATAACTATTATTTTTATAATTTGATAATTTAAGGAATGTGCAATTAAAATATTTTTTTATTAATAAAATAAATATGTAATAAAATAAAAAAAATATTTGAATAATGTTGCATTCATTTTATCGTTTCAGAATTTTAACTTTTTTTTTTGGACCGCAAATGTTGATACCATAGCACATATTTAGTTTATTAATAAAACTGATTTTTCCATTACATACTTTCAAATTCACTTATCAAACTTTATAAATAATTAATATAAAACTTTTTCATAAATATAATTTATATAGTTTTATTTTGTTATTAAGAAAACTTTACTAAAAGATACTTATTTTTTTATATAAATATGTAAAATATAAATTACAAAAGAAAAATAATAATAATACTTTTGTTCACATAATAGTTGGTTCACGAGCTATTCTCCTTTCGTAATCCGTACTTCTTTATTATTGCAACACGAAATTGGCCTTTCCAACAACTCCAAGGGTTAGACAAAAAAGTGTGTGAGTGATGTAGGAAAACGTACGAGAATAATAATTTACACCCGTGATGGATCCGAGATACTGTTTGTTTATATGAAAATATCTTGGCTGAATGGAGCAATGGTAATATATTGGCTGAATGTACACCGTTCATTTCATTTCAATTATTCAGTGAGAGCCTCTGTATGTATGGCAATCATTTCATTTCATGTAGGGCTATATCTGATTCCCATTCATTAAATACGTGAAACTAGAAGTAGTTACACATATAACACCTCTAATTAGTTTTTTCATTCACCTTAATATGGTTTTGAAAATTTTCTAAATCTTTCACTTACGAAAAAAATAGAACCATTAAATCTATACAAAACCATTTTTTCTTATAAAATTCATACGATCCGACCATCTTGTACAGCCGTTATCACCCACGGAACCTGCCACCTTGTCACCCTTTCGCCAGGAAGACTTTCGCCACAAGGCACCCGGGTCCACCAGCCGTCCACCAGCTCAACGAGAAACATGCCACGTCATCCACATCGCAACTGGGCTACTAACCGTGGCTCTGATACCAATTGTTAAAACCAACAACTCAAAACTCGGTTCTGCTTCAAACCCAACATACAAGCCAAAATGGGATTCCATTCTTAAACCAATTGGCAATAGAAGGAGTAACCCACCAAGCTTATATATTGGACTTGAAACCTTTAATTTTGCGATGTGAGACTGAGTTTGCACACCCTACAAGAAACTAGTTTGGGAGATATGTAGAAGACATAAACAAGAAAATAAATTAATGAGGAATAATGGTGCGAAAATATTGTGGATATTTTTAGGAGATGTTGAATGTTTTGTTTGTATATTTGTTTGAATTAATTAAATATTAGTTATTAATTAAAATATGAGATATGATGGGTATTAGTGTATTATTAATTTGTCATTTTTAGGTAGTTCCTTTTTCTATAGTGTATTTGTAATTAATTAATTAATTAATTAATTATTAGTATTAATTAAAACATAAGATATAATGGATATTGCTATATTACTAAATTGTCATTAAAAATATGTTAAAAATAAGAATACTTTAGATTTTTTTTTTTGGGAAAAAATTCATCCTTCCTTTTAGAGTTGTACAAATAGTTAGTTATCAGGGTGCCAGACTCACTTCAGTTTTTCAGGAGTCCGTGGCTATGATTGCGAGAAATTGAGAAATTGGCAAATATTATAGTCTCTAGGCGAATTGTTTTTAGTTTTGGTAAGACCATCTCTAGCCCTCTGCTCTACTCTAGAGTAAAGTTGGCCAAATTCAACTTCCATCTCCAGCCATTTACACTACATTTTACTCTACATAATATATATGTTAGTTTTTATTCATTTTTATTTTAAATAAATTGGTATATATATGTATATTTAATCTTATATAAATGTTTATTACCCAAATAATAAAAATATGTTTAGTATAAAAAATACATTACACAAAAGTATCATATGTAAATAAAGAAAAAACACAAAATTATTTAGTATAATAAATATATTACACAAAGTTATAAATTATTTAGAATAAAAAATACATTACACAACGTTATAAATTTGTTAACATAAAAAATACATTACACAAATTATTTAACATAAAAAACATTTATTAATACACATTATACAAAAAAGTTGTCATTAATATTACATTACAATACATAAAAATATAAATAAAAAAAAATTGTAGAGATGCAACAGTGTTACGCCACATATGGCGCAACACTGTTGCAATCTCCAGAATAGCGATGGCATTTGGCGCAGGGCTGGACTGCATTTTAGCACTACAATAGCGCAGAAAGTGAGAGATAGAGCAGCTTTGGAGTTGCTCTAAGTATTCATTTTCATAACTTTTCTTTGACTTGTTGGTATTGTTTTGATGTTTAGCAGGTCAACTTGTCTCCTTGTTACAAAATAGACTTGAGTGATCGCCCTTAGTCCCGTTTTCATTGATCGTCTTCGTACCAAAGTTCTTCCCCAAACTTGTCGCAGGTGATAGAGATGGGATCCGATATAGACCTCCATTCAGAAGCTTCTACCGTTCAACTGAACAAATAGCACAAGTGTTTGCATATAAATGTTAATGGTCTCTACTTATATTTAGTAAGGTTCAAATATAATACTTCTCCCGATTTTAGTTTTGTAGGATGGGAGCCTGCACTAGTGCGGACTTATTCCTTTCAAACGTCTCTTGGCATTCGTTAGTCCATTCGAACTTTTTTTTTTTTTCTTTATAGCTTCAAAGAATGGTTTGAAACGATCAGTGGTCAAGGAAATTTTCTTTAATGACAGATAGGATTAACTGGACCGCGTGACAATGAAATAGAGCAACTCATGAACCGTTGGACAAACTATTAGTTATTTACTTTCAGCTTCTATTTTCATGCCTTAGTATTTTGTTTTAGTAACACATAATGGTGCATTTTTAAGAGCTATAGTAAATAATAGTTACCTTGAAAAGGCAATATACTTGTCACTTTATGTGTTGTCCTTATAGCAACTCCAACAACAAAGGTGTAATGTCAGTTCAATGTCATAATTATGCTTGACTTTATTGGTGGAGAAGGTGTAAAATTTTACTCTGTTTCTTCTGCCTTCGACGGTAGAAAAATGGGGCCCTTTGTACAATTTTACTGCAATTGTCAGCTACTTTTTTTTTTCACACTAAGTTGTGGGTCTAAGATTATTTGGGTAGTGAGTATAATTGTTGAAGGAGAAAATGAAAAAAAAAAAATGATTGATAGTGGAATGCTGATGCGGCATTAAAAGGTGGTATAATGTTGGTTAATTGGTGGAGATGCCTTAACCATATAAGGTAAAAATTGTTGATTTGAAATTTAATGAAGTAATTGATTAGTCACTTTCATTGGACTTAATAATTCGGCCCATGTTTTCTTTATACTCATAAATGAAACCTGACCCATCTCTATTTGATGTCCCAACCCATGTGTGGATGTCCATCTTTTCTCAGTTCTCTACATTTTCCTTTTCAATTAGTTATCCCCAAGCAGCAGATTTGCCCTGTCGGTGCAGTTTTACAGTAGCAGTGGTAGCCAGAGCTACCCAGCAAGTGTGTCAAATTGTCAATAGAATGGTGGTTAGAGGCTTAGAGCTGTTTATACTTTATAGACATGGCCACGAGCCGGGCCGGCCTGTAGTCCCGGTCCAGGCCCTCAACCGGCCCGTAGATTGTCGGTTCCGAGAACTGTCACCGTGGTTTTACGGGTCGTTTATAGGTCTGGTTTTTCTATTTTTGGTCCCGACGGGCCGGGACCGGGCCTGTTCACGGGCTCGGCCCTTGTTTTTGGTGGGCCGGTTAAGGGTCACCCATGGGAGGCCCGCCGGCCCAGCGGCACGGCCCAGCCCGTGGACAAGCCATCTCTAGCTGTTTAAATGAATTATTCAACGTTTTTTTTAAACTTTTTATTTTATTTTACTTATGGTGTGTGCTTTGCTTTTGTCAAACCAAAGCTAAAATCTTTAACAAAAGACACCAACTTTTGAATGAATAATAAGGCTTGAAGACTACGTGATAACAACATTTCGTGCTTCTTATGCTCCCACATCAATACAAAAGGAGCATATAATCTGGCTCTTCTTTGAACTCATCACTATATATGTTTCTGATCTCTGTCATCTCTCTTCAACCACAATTTTCGTGCCGAGAAAAAAAAAACAAAACAAAAAAAATACACAATTTAACCTTGTGGCTACATTAAAAAAATAGCCCACTGAAAGGTATCTATACAATACCCGTAATTCAAATGATGGAGACAAGTGAGGAGGAGCCAGAAGAAGCACTAGAACTCGATCGACTCTTTCCTTGTAACGTGCTTAGTTTCGCAAAAACTCCAACCAGTGGAGCTGTATTGTACGTACATGCCTCGGTTTGCCTGAAGTTTCCCCTTCTATCATCAAACTCGTCATTTCTATCGGGCCCACCAACAAGGGCTCCAACCAAAACGTTGGGATTCGGGCCCTGGCGTCCATACCAGGTATCATACCCCTGAGTACACCCAACAAAAACTTTACTATCTCTATACGACTCCATGGATGCACCCCTATGGTGGACTCTACGTGGATAAGCGGGCCCATACCCAACCAAGTAGCTCAAGCCCATTGGGTTTGCGCCCAGAATGTAGGCGACTTGCAACTGGACTAAGGAAAGGATCTCAATGGGCTCCACGGGGCCCCTGTGGCATCTGAGGGTTTTATTGGTCGAGCTGAGGTGTTGGGAGTAGACTGTGAGTAGGAATAGTGCAGTGGAAACGTACTGCATGTTGTTCCATTGGCGGGTATAGAGGAGTCCACCTGGGGTGCGCCTCACGTTAGTAGAATTGTTCTTGTCCAAGCACGCACATATGTAGTGTTCTGCCTTTGACCGATATTGTTCAAGGATTTGCTTTTGTTGCTCGGTTTTGCCTTCCGTTGGCAACTGCAGAAACACAAAGTTTTAATAGTTAGGAAGTGTAGTATGTATATGTTTTATCAGGTCATCTTTTCACCTTCTTTTTAATTTCCATTATGAGAATTCATGCAAGTACCATTTTTTTTGTCTTTATGTTTGCAAATATACCAACATTGTCTTTCACGACCTAAACAACGATTCTCAACTAATGATATTACGGACAGAAAGTGCACAAAGAGAGTTAAAATGTGATACATTTATGAATTATTTCCTTTCTTGTGTTTCGATGTGTACTGTTAGCTGTTGGGACAACATATATTCATGGCATGATGACAAAACTATCGTAAAGAGAAACTAAATTATGCGTCACAAGGTTTGTGGCCATAGCTCGAGGCAGATTTAAGTTCTTTTGCCGCTTCTTTTGGTGATTAAAAGTTTTAAACATGCACTAATGATGAAGGTGCCAATCAAGAAACTTTTTTTTAGCTACTTTTTTCTCAATCTGCGGGCAAAGGTTAGGGGTACGAAAGGAAAGTGAGGTAAAAATGTTGTAATTTGGTAATTTATGAGAGTGGTGATCAATCAAGAGTAAAGAAAAAAGGTGACTTATATCTGATACTAAACTTGCTGAGAGTGAAGGGTCACACATTGCCCCCACTGGATTGAACACATGCCTAACATATACTTTAAAGCAAAAGCCAACACTTGATAATATGCAACATGAATATATGCTCTTTCACAAAAAAACTGTCTCAACTCTCCAATTAACTTAAGATTAGTTGTTTCTATCTTTCATTTGGTTAAAGAAAGTATTTTTACGAACCAGTCGAAACTGAGTTTGTGAGTCGACCCAATCACACTCTTTTCACATAAAAAAACTCGAAAGTTTTTCGAAACAAGTTAACATTCTTGGTCTACATTAAATTTTAATGTCAATGCATTTCATGGTGGAAGTAATATATAGCCTCTTATCGTAAATGTTCGTCTGCCCATTCCATCAGTCGGACTAACATCATACCTACATTTTCTTAACTAAATATGCATAATCATCATCAAATGGAGTAGATGAAAAAAGAAACAAATAAAAAAATTTAAATATTAATGACAAGAGACGGATTATATCCCTTATATGGGAATGCTACGGTCCCGTTACGGAACCCTTTCGTCGGGGTTTGTAACCGTTAGATCAACTATCCACGACGGTTCGATGATGATCTAAGGGTTACAAACCCCGACGGAATGGTTCCGTAACGGGATCGTAGCATTTCTCTATATCTGAATCTGAATCGAAAGAGAGGAATGAGTAATTACCATAGAGGCAATGATTTGGAGACCGGCGTATTTAACGTCCCAGCTGAATTCGGCGACGGCCCAAGTGATCCCACCATAAGAATAGGCATTGTGAATGGCATAATTCAAGTAATGTACATTGTCGGTGGCCTTATACAACCACAAAGCTGCCCACAACAACTCATCCATGTACCCGCTCACAGACGAGTAATATCTCTTTGCTCCCTCTATACTCTCGTCATATTTGCCTCTGTACTTGTCACCAAACTCAAATAACTGCACCCCATCCAACCACTCCCAAAATTACTTCACTAATTAGGAAAATCTCAACTAAAGGATATATATTATCGGGAAATTCTAAGGTCCGTCACGGAATCATTCCGTCGAGTTTTGTAACCGTTAGATCATCATGTAACCGTCAGCATTTTTCTATATTATCATGTAACTAATTAGGTGGTTAACAACTCTAATACCTGCTGCGCGTGCTCCAGAAGAAGGTGGGCGTAGTGTGGGTTTGATCTCCTGAACACGAGCGCCGCCGCCGCCATAGCAGCCGCCGTCTCCGCCGCGACCTCCGTGCCCGGATTTTGCTCGTCCAGCTTGTATGCCCGGCGGGACGTCGTCATGTCCTCCGGCCGCTGCCAGCACAGGTGGTCGGTGTCCCCATCACCCACCTGCTCACAATTGCAGATTAAGTCAAAAAAATGAGAGGAAAATCAAAATCGACATTAATTAACCCCATTTTCTTTACAGAAAGGGGAGTTAATTGAGCATCTTTTTGACCTAAAGACTATTGCATTGTCTCACAAGTCGTTCGATGAGACCGACACACTTTGGTTTAAAATGTGGCCTTCAAATTTGTGGAGCCCACAGGGAAGAAGACTTTTTCAAGTTATTATTTGTTAGTTGCGGAATAATTTCATCGGAATTTGTAACCGTTACATCAACTATCCCGGTTACAAATCCTAGTAAACCATAGCATATCCCATTAATTATTCCCCACACCCCCACGAGATTCAAATTAAATAAATCCTCCGCCGTGATTTGGGGATTAATATATGAAATAAAAAAAAGTGGGCATTTATTTGAAATAAAAGAGAGTAATAATTAATTAATTATTTAATTAGTTAATTTACTTTACCTGTGCCCAGAGAACATGGGGACTAGAGTGCGCCTTAATGAAATAATCGGTCCCCCATTTAATAGCTTGGAGGGCATGTGTGAGCTCGCCGGCGGCGGCTATCTGATCCCGGAATTCGATCACTCCCCACGACAGCATCGTTATCGTAAAAGCCATCGGCAGACCAAACTTCACGTTGTCCCCGGCATCATAGTACCCTCCCACCAAGTCCACCTAAAGTACGGTACACTAAATTAATCACTCACTTCTCTCTCTCTGTAATAATAATTTTTGTTCTAATTTTAATTAATAGTGCTAGCGTACCCCCTGTTCGAGGCCGTCGGTGAGGCCGGAGTGGTGGCGCCACGTCACTCTCTGGCTGTACGGCAGGCGGCCCGACCGCTGGGCCTCGAAGTAGAGGAGGCTTTTCGAGAGAGCATCGGAATAATCAAACAATATCTCGGACAGCGTAAGAGTGGGAAAGAGTGAAAGAATTGCTAAAATTAGGCAAATTTTGGGCTCCCTGCATTGCATTTGCCTCTTCTTCTCACTCATTTTTTTTTTTATTAAAGAATAAAT